CATTTTAAAACGTTCCAAAACATTTTGTTGGCATTTTCTTTTACTCTATTTTTTTGTTACAAAAATTACAAACTCTATTTTAATAAAGTTTCGTTTTTTTCGATAGCCGACAATGAGTAAATGACTATTTTAGCATCGAAAACTTCTTTGTAAGTACAGTCGACTTGCTTGATATAACGACTTGATATAGCGATTTGCTCGATACTCGACTTATACTTGCGGTCCCGGCCAAGTGCTTAACAAAATACCTTAAGTCGACTCTCGATATAATGATTTTTTTAATAGCTTTTGCACTAACTTTTGATTTGATACAACGATTTTGGTTTAATTGAAGGGTCAAGGGTTCAATTCCCCTCGGTTCCAAATTTCATTCATTTCTTTGCCATTTATTTCTTTACTTTATTACAATCAGAGTGATTACCAGACTAGATTTATTCTATCCACCATTTTTAGATTTCTTCTTTTCATTATTAAAGAAGGCACTCTCGCAATTGTGGGATCAATGATGGAAAAGACAAAAGGATTGGTCCTTGGTCTTGGTGTTATTGAGTGGACAGGTGGTGGAAGAAAAAAGGAAATGAACAAAAGAAAAACAAATGGGAAAAAGGGAGAGGAGCAAAAAGAATGGAAAAGAAAGAAGAATGGACATAGACTTAATTTTTTTGATTGGATATCTAAAGCTTTAAGAAGTTACGATTAATTTCATTATGTCCTCTGAACTTTGTGTCCATCTCCGCATCCATCCACATTGTTAAATTTTGTACAGGGCAGGACAGATCCTGAAGCCGATCAACCAAAAACCTGCTTAGGAGTCACAAGTACGCAAATATTGCTTGTAAATCTCACACTCGATCCCCTCGAGTGTGAGATCCGGGTACGATGCTCAGCGAGCGAATACGGGGCAATGCGCATTTGAATGAAGGGAAACGACAACCATCCGGCGTGCTGAAGGAAAAGAAAGAGAACGAACAGAATGAAATAAAGAAGTTGAATTCAATCAAAACGTACACTTTGTAATTTGAATGCGCAATTGACAAGTGGTGAATTGCATCCTCGAATAAAATAATTGAATAAAATTCTGCGTCGTATGGTATTAGGCTCATGTCATTTGGCCACCTCAGCCTTCTAACCGTCCCTTTTAAGTTTTTCGTTGCTTTATCTGTTTACAGTCCTGTTTACATCCTAACTCCCTAATATCTTTCCAGAAACGCGCTTCCTTGGCGCAGTCGGCAGCGCGTCAGTCTCATAATCTGAAGGTCGAGAGGGAGCAACCCCTCTCAGGGAGCAACCACTTTTGCTTTTTTGATAACTTTTTGTTAAAAACGGTAGAAACTTGTTTTTTTTATTCATTTTAGTTCGTATTGCCTATTTTCAAATTCCAGACATAGCCGGCTTTGTGAACTTTTGCTTTATCGAGAATCATCAGCACCGAGTGGCGACAATGAATACCACCAGAATACTCGCCATGGAAAGAAGACAGGCAAATGGGAAGAAGTTTGACTTAAATTTGAACTGTTTTGATTGAGTTTTATTTTGAAATCGACAAAATATTCTAAAGAAGGATGAAGTCTGTCGAGGAGAATGGATGGAAATAGCGACTTTCATTCGATCGGTTGAAGTCGGAGGCGATCGTCACCCCGAGTTACTACAATGAATTTGCACATGCTCGGTTAACGTTTGCCTTTATTTTGAACCGAAAAGAATTGAAAAAATGATTAGTCAGCTGAAAAAATCTTTTCAGAAACCCTCCTTACATTCAGTGACGAAAAATGGCAGATCGCCGTGAAATTTCTAATGGCAAGCTCATTTCGATGGCCAGTAAGGGTCAAAAAAGGTAGCTCTTGGCCAGCTGAAAACTTTAATGTATTAATGATGCTGAGAATTAGAATTAGAGCTTTCAAATGAGGCACGATCCAGCAAAAAAAAAGTCTTACCTGTATTGTCTCCCAAAGGCTGCTGGTTTGCTGATAATTCAGGTGTTTTGTCGATAATTCAAGAGTGAAGATATACTGGCTGCCAAGTCGAGTCAAACGCGAAGATAAAAAATGAACGATTTTTCCGACCACAGCCCCACTAATTCACTTTCAGTGAATCAGTGGTACCGGAGATCACAGGGGTCCTTCCACTATATGGTGAAATTCAGTCAGAAACACATGTTGTTCGTTGTCTGCGTCCTTCCCGATCATCAATTTTTATAGCGACACGAGCAAAAGCCACGACGCTTGGGATTCCCAAGCCAAAGTCTCCGATCAGAGTACTAAACTGAGCCCAATGTTTAAGCCCAACTTGGCAGATCGGACGGGATGCCATGTTTTCAACGTGGTATGGTCGTAAGCGGTTGCCAGGTGGAAGACGAGTGAAATAGCCAAAAAGAACGCGAGATCCTTGCTGGCCGAAAAGGCGCAAGACCCTTCAGGTGTCCCGCAAGGAAAGCGGGATCCGGCACCCGGCCGCTACACAAAGGGCGACAGGGACCTAAGACATCGGTTTAATTACCCAAGTTTGAGGATAATTCGGATGGTTTGCTGATAATTCAGGTGGCTTGTTGATGAATTCAAGTGTTTTGTTGATAATTTGGATCATCATTGAGGTTTTCGCGCTGAATTCCGAACTGCCAAAAATAAAGTTAGTAAAACAAATTCGGCTCACTTTGACTCTTTTGTCGTATTTGGGTAAGTGGAGGATGTATTCTTCTAAAGGACGTCTCGAAATCCGTCTTTAGTTCTCTGTATAAAGAAAATTAAAAAAAAGAAAAACCGAAGATTGTTTACGGGCAATTTATCTTTTTTTCTTCTTCAAAGGTCGATGGATTTGTGAGATCGCTTGCCTTCTTCAACAACTTCTAATATTTCGAATTTTTTTCGATTCACTATCATGGTCAGTTACCAACCGAAACCATTGAAAAATATTTCAGAAAATTTTTATTAACAAATGTTTCAAAAGTAGTAACAGTTAAAGTGAACATTGAAAAGTAATTACAGTTAACAACGCAAAGTAAAAAAATGTGCATTTAAAAGAACGCGAACAAAATCTTTCAATTGTTTAAGATTGAATTCTTAAATTGCTTAGAGCAGAAGATTATGGTAGAAAGAGAAAGGAACACGGTCTAGGAAACGGATTTGAGGAGAGCACCTTATCGTCGTCATCATCAACATTCGTCGAGACTTTGAATCAGTTCCTAGAAGTAGAATGAAAATCTTTGTATAAATTTCCAACCCACTTTGATTATTGCGCCATATTTCCGTAGATGTGGTATGTATTCCTCTGAGCACATCTCGAAATCCGTCTTCAGCTTTCTAAAATGGGACTTTTGCTCAAAAATATCCCCAAACCCTTACGTGCATTTATCTCGTTTCTTCTTCAAATCCTCGAAAGTTGGCACATTTCTGAGGGCCTCTCTTTGTCCAAAAGTTTCTAAAGAAAATTTAGCTTCTCCCAAATCAATGAACCTTTCCATTAAACTAGATAGTATTGAAAACAGTCCCTTACCTGTTTAAATCCTTCGATATCACCATGGAGTTCCTTGTGGAGATCACGGAAACAACAACTCGTAGGTATTTATCACGCCATTTGAAACTTCACGAAGCTTGTCTGAGGACTTGATTAACCTAAAAAGCAAAATCTTCAATATTAGTCTATCTCTTACCCTCTTCTTGCAAAAGAACCATTGTCTCGTGTTGATGATGTTTCTTATACGGACACGTCCCACAAAGCTAAATTATTGGGGGAAATAAGAAACAAAATGATCCCGACCTACAAAGTGCACTCGTTGCAGTGGAACATTTCGCTGATACTGTCCTGATAGATTTATTAATGTTAGTTCTTTTTTAATCAAACAAACCACTTTCGCGCATTCATCACAAAAACGTTGTCCCGCTTCCCCCATATCTTCCAATTGTTGCGTCATTTTTGGCAGCTCTTTCAGAAAAATCTTAACCACAATTATAGATTAAATGCCACTATTTAAAGATACCTTGAAGCCGGTCCCTTTTAGAATCGCCGAACGTAGAATCGCGAAACGTACCATTACAAAGTGGGCATTTGATCGTATACATTTCCCCCTTCTTCTACTTCTTCTACTTCTTCCTCTTTTACCCGTGTCTTCAGGTAGCACTCAGTGCACAGAATGTGATTGCAACTTAAAGCACGGGAGCTTTTTCACCCCTCATGTGAATCTAAAATGACGATCATAAGCCAAATTGTGCAAAGTGTCAAAACTTACACTCCTCACTGACAAATTCTGCACTCAGGAAGTTTGAATGGCTAAGAAAGACAATTTTGTTACTGAGAAAAACATGGGCAAACCCTCGCAGTGGATATCCACCTAAGATTGGCGAAAGCATCAAATAATCCGATGACAGAACATCTGAACTCCAAATTATAAAGATTTTCTTTTACCCTGGCAACGTACCAATTAGGAAAGTAGGCAAAATTCGGGTTGTCAAAGCATATTTCTGAATCACATTGATGCTTTCTTTCGTCTTTCTCCAAAGATTCCTCTTTCTCGAAGCATTCATGGCACATCGCTAATCCACAATTCAAATGCCGTGGAGATCGAGGTTGATTTGCGATCGACACAACTAAAGAACAGGCTGATACAAAAATCAACTCCAAACTTGGTCAAATTTTCCTAAAATTTCAACCCTTACACGGCTGTTCGCAGAGGATGCAGTTGAGCGACTCAAATACTTTCATACCTAAAAGAAGTATTGTCTCCTGAAGTAAATGTAGATAGATTAAAAGGCAAAAATTCCTTTTCGATTCAAACCACGTAAAATATTTGAACAGGCAATTATTACGAAAAATTTTATTGAAAAAGAACATTAAAAAATAACAAATTCCCAGCCATGTGACAATAAAATTATCAACTACCAATCTTGATTCTTCCCCCTTTCCGAGAGTTCGAATCAATCCCTAAATGCGATGCGTTTTTCAGCAAAATTCTTAGCCCACCTTAATCTTTGTGTTGTATTTGAGCAAATCTCGCATATATTCTTCTGAGCACGACTCAAAAGTCCGTCTTCAGCTTCCCAAAAGAGAAATATTTTTCCTGTTGTATCAATCAAAAACTCATATGCACTCTTTGTGATCCTTCTGCAATCCTTCGTAAGTAACAACAGCCGTAAGAGTATCGACTTGGTTAATAAATTTCTAAATGTGAAGTTTGCTAATGTAAGCGTTTTACCAATGTAAGCATTTTACCTCCTCAAATAAGTGGATACCATTAATAAGTTCGTTGTGAAGAACCGGGAACACCGACTTGCTGACCTCACCAAACGAAACACAACGAAGCTTCTCCGACATTTGATTAACCTAAAAATTGAGTTTTCTACCAGTTTGGTGTTACCTCATTTTCTAAAAGAGACATTGTTTCGTGAGATCGATGTCTTCTGTGAGTGCAAGTGCCGCAAAGCTAAGATTTTTAAAATAATATTCCCAAAAAAATACCATTAACCTTAAACACGCATCCGTTGCAGTGAAACATTCTATCGACAATATCCTATAAATATGCATATATTTTGTGTTAAGAAACAAAATAAATCACCAATCCCTTGCATTCCTCACAAAAACGATATCCCGTTTTATCCATTTCTTCTAGTTGACGAGTCATTTCAGGCAATTCGCGTAAGAAATCTAGAAATGGTCAGGTTATAAAATACGTTCTTCGTACCTTTTAAGACATTCAACGGGTGCTAATGCTTGGGCAAATCGGTATTTGCCCAAGCATTAGCACCGTTGAAAAGCGGAGCTTGCCACAAATTGGACAAATAACTACCGTAAATACTGTAATAATCCCCACGCGCCTGGTACAGTCGCGTAGTCGCAAAAGTTTTCAGTATTTCGTTTTCTAAAGCACCCGTACTTTCAAAAATGCGTCTTTGGTATCAAAAATAGCCCTGAATTTCAGCTATTTTTTGATACCTAAGCGTCCATTGTAGCATAAACCAGTGTCGAGAAAAACTCGTTCAAAGCTAGACTACGCAACAATCCACACCGTCATTATGGGGGTGGGGTACTACTACAGTATTTACGGTACTGTATTTCCAAGTTTCTTTCGTCGCAGCATCGTTATTTGCCTGTAGAATACTTCCATGTCATTCATGACAGATGATGAGGATTACAAAGGAAAATAAATGATTTCTTGTTATGCAGTTGCAGTTGAGCGATTCGAGATATCTCGATATCCTTCAGTGACTTCATTTCTAAAGACAAAAATATGGTCAAGAGAGCAAAGTAAAGAAAGAATCACACAAAAAGTAAAACGGGCAGTAAATGGTACTCGCAAAACTTCAGAAAAGTCGAGAAATAGCAGACTCACAGAATTTATAAATGAAAAGATATTTAGGCATCGACGGGAAAATCCACACGGTGGTCCACAATTATGACAACCAGTTTTTGGAAAACTATGCCAGAAAAGATCCTTATTGGCCCTTCGGAATGAGCTTGCCGTGTACCCCACGGCGATCTGCCATTTTTCGTGATTTGAATGTAAGGAGGGTTTCGAAAAGGATTGTTTTCAGCTGACTAATCATTTCTTCAATTCTTTCGGTTCAAAATAAAGGCAAACGTTAACCGATTGGGGAGTGGGTTAAATTATGCCAGAAAAAGATCCTTACTGGCCTTCAGGCTGAGCTTGCTGCAGGTACCCTCACGGCCATCTGCCATTTTTCGTGGTTTTCTAAGTAAAAATTTGAGCGAGAAAAAACAGGGAAATAGGATCAAATTTGCACATATTTTATCAAAATTAATTGAATTCAATACTTACAAAACCAAAATAACAAACCAAAAGTGCCTCAATCAGCAGAACCAGACATCCCGAAAAAAGCGAATTTCACTACTCGTCGCAAAATGGTAGTTTGCAGCAAGTTTTGAGTCCGTTTTAACAATGAAATTGGTAATGCTCGGTTCACGTTTGCCTACGCTGCAAGGAACCGTGTAAGTTTTAAATTGGCCGAGCTTTACCGCATTGAAAGGTTTATAACACCAAACTTTGTATGTAACAACTTTTGTAGGTGTGCCGATTGCAAGACAGCCTCCGATCTCCTACGGCTTTTGCTTTGTGCATCGGCGATGTGTCATGAATGTTTCGAGAAGGAAAAGTCGTTGAAGAAAGAAGAGAAGAATGATGCTGAGAATTAGAGCTTTCCAAATCGGTATATGATACCCTTGCTACTTTCTGACTAGAGTTTTTTGGAAAATAATAGTTTTCCAAAAACTGGTTGTCATAATTGTGGACCACTCCTGTGGATTTCCCGTCGATGCCTAAATATATCTTTTAATTTCTAAATTCTGTGAGTCTGCTATTTCTCGACTTTTCTGAAGTTTTGGGAGTACCATGTAGTGCCCATGTTACTTTTTGTGTTATTCCTTCTTGACTTTGCTCTCTTCGACCCATATTTTTGTCTTTAGAAATGAAGTTACTCAGGGATATCAAGATATTCGAATCGCTCAACTGCATTCTCTGCAAGGAACCGTGTAAGTTTTAAATTGGCCAGCAATACCGCTATTTTAAAGGGTTTATAACACCAAACTTTTGGAATAAGTAACTTTTGTGAGTTGTGCCGATTGCTAAGACAGCCTCGATCTCCACGACTTTTGCTTTGTGGATCGGCGATGTGTCATGAATGTTTCGAGAAGGAAAGTCGTTGAAACAAGAGGAGAGGGAACATAAATGCGATTACGGCGAAAAATGGTTCCACAATCCCTAAACTTTGCTTACTGTGTGATTGGTAAAGAATTTTTGATCTCTAATAACCGATTACGAGAGGCTGATTTCTTTCTTTTTAGATGTGCTATCACAGGATTGCTTCACTCTTTCGCCGATTTTGGGCGGATATTTGCTTATGAAGGTTAGCCCTATTATAGTTGGTTTTTTTCAAAAACGTTTAGCCATTGGTGGGAATCCTGAATGCCCAATCTGTCAGATGAATGTATAGTTTTGATTATGATTGCAGGCGGTTGTGAACTTCAATTATAGAGGCTTTTGGCGGATTTAGGGCGCGAACAAAGTACGCTTCAGTTTATTTAAGAAAGGCTCTTCTCCGGTACGCGTAGCGACATTGTATGAAGCGAAGGCTATCAGAAAAGTTTGAAGCAAAATAACGATACGACGACACGGGCTAAGTGGGCATACAGTTGCTTGTCCGACTTGTAACGCAAACACTCAGGCAAGTGGAGAAAATCGTTGGAAAAATTGGTTGCAAGGTTTATCAACCAAATATTTGTCAAATTTAATTATTTGTTTATCTGTTATTTCTTGGACGAATTGCCTGAAATGACATGCCAATTAGAAGAAATGAATAAATCTGGTTATCGTTTTTGTGATGGATACAAGAAATTGGTCTGTATATTTCATTGACCCAATGAAAAAGTTGTTTTAGGATATTGTTGACGAAATGCATCACTGTAAGAAGTGCTTGGTGTCAGGTTTGTGGCTGGTTAATATCCATTTTTTTACACACTTTAAGCTATGTGGGAGCTGTACTACAAGAATCATCGTTCACACAAGCCAATCACACTTCTGCAAGAAAGAGGTAAAAGCACACGTCAGCAGAGTTTTTGTTTTTAAAAAGAATTCATGTTTTTTGGGCGGATTTAATGTCTCACGAGCTTTGCGATCTTTCAATCAGTGAGGTTCAAACGTACAATCAATTATTTTCTGAGCTTCACAAGGAATTGTCTGATGGCCTGCAAGGATTTGATCCAGGGTAATTTTGCTAATGATCAGGTTTTTTAGTCCATTTAAATTTTTCTTTAGAAGCTGTTGAAAAAGAAAAGAGATCTCACAAATGCGTCGACCTTTGAAGTTTTAATGGAGAAACATAAAAAAGTGCACGTAAGCAACTTTCAGTTTCTCTTTTTTTCAATTTTTTTTTCTACAGAGAACTGAAGACGATTTCGAGAAGTGCTCCGAAGAATACATGCCCCACTTACGCAAATACGAAAAAGAGTCCAAGTGAGTCGAATTTGTTTTTGCTAATTTTATTTTGAACTTAGGAATTGATGAAAACTCTCGATATTGATCCAAATTAAGCCACATCTTGTTTTGCATTCCTTTTTGCATCTAACCTTGTTAATTTTATGTTATTGATCTAATTTGTTATACGATATTTACACTTTGCAATTTTGTTATAAGGTCAATAAAGTTGCTATAATTGTTTGTTTTATGATTTAGCATCGATTGTAGCTGGTTTAGTTGATACCTTTGAAATTAATTTTGCTAATATCCCAACTAAATCTTTTTGTATGGGCGACAGTTTGTTTAGAAATGAGGGTATTCAAGTCGTTGAACTGCATCCTCTGCAAGAAACCGTGTAAGTCCTCCAGCTTTTCCTTTAAAAATTCAAGGTCTTTTGTTACTGCGAACAGCTACCTAGGTTTTTGTTAAGAATATAAAAATTTCTAAGGTTTCCCTTTAGTTGTACCGGTTGCAAGGCTGCCTCAATCATCACGACTTTTATTGTGCGGTTTAGTGATGTACCATGAATGCTTTGAGAAATAGAAACAGCTGAAGAAAGAAAAAGAGAAAACACCATTGCAACAGAAAGGACTGCTTTTCCAACTTGCATACTTTCTAATTGGTAAGTTGTGTAGTTCAAAACAATTTCACTAGTTTTAGTGGGGTGTGTTATCACAAGATACTTTGACGCTTTCTACCGATTTTGGGTGGATATTTGCTCATAAAGGTTGTTTGGTTTACTACAATTTTTATGAAAATTTTTATTTAGCTATTCAAAATCCCTGAGTGCATAATTTGTCATGAAAGTGTAAGTTTTAAAAAGCTTTTGGTATTGATTTGTTAGTTTTAGATGTGGAATCAGGTCGAGCTGAAGAACTCGTTGGTTCTTGCTTCGTAACCAGATGATATGCATGGGAATGCTACCAGAAGACACGGGGTTTAAATCAGAAGGAGAATAATCACTTGCCCAACTCGCTGCCTAATGCCTAACTTATATAATATCACTTGCTGATATATGGAATAATCAATTTCACGGTACAAAAATCCTTTAAAATGTGTATTTTTCATAGTATTTAGTAAGTTTATGTTACGTTCGAAACGGAACCAATTATACTGTACATAGTACATAGTACTTGTTCATTGAACAAAAACTGATTTTAGATAAATACGAAAAGAAACTTGGTTCAGTTTCGGATGCTTGTTCCAGCTTTGCATGTAACATTTATACTTTTGGACGTATAAACGAAATTAATAAATGGTTTTTAGATTTTCTCAACGAATTGCCTTGAAATGACACATCAATTAAAGAAATTTTGAATGAATCTGGATATCGTTTTTGTGATGAATGCGAGAAAATTGGTTAGCGACGCTTAAAAGGATAAAAAAAGAATGCATATTCTAGGATACTGTCAACAAGTGTTTTACTGCAGGAGCTGTAATTCTTCAGCTGTTTGCTTTTGTGCATCTTTACCAATAAGTAAAGTTTAGCTTTTGTGTGGCAAATATACAATGGAGAAAATTTTCATCTCTCATAAAGCGATGAGCTCTTTTACAAAAGGAGGTAAAATTGAATTTTTGGGCTGGCGGGATGAGATTTACATTTTTCCAATCAAATCAGATCAAACCTACAA